TCGGTTGTTTAACCTGCTGATGTGCAATAACTCAAAATACTGCAGACTCTGCCCATATAGAAGGAGTGCAGTGTGGAAAAGCACCTCCAATGCGACTTAAGCAGTGGCTTTTGTGGCCTTGCTACCAACCATGTTGCCAGGTTTTTTGCAGGAGGCACGCTGACATTTGTGCACGATTGATGGAGTGTGCACAACTGGTAGTCAGCAGAAGTTTGCTGAGTGGCCATATACAGTGGGTCCATCGCCAGTGTTCCTCGAACATTACTGCGTAAATGAGATACCTGTTTTCCTGTTCTGGGTTTGTGCATCATTTAATCCACTCCTCTGGTATTGTTTCACATGAGTACTCTGTCCCATACACGGCTTCTACTTCGTTGCGGTGACCTTGAAAGTCTTTCGCATTGACATAACCCGCAATTTTAAAGGCGTCAGTCCATTCAATACAGCTCGAATTCCCTCTGGGTTGTATTCCTGTGGAATCACACGATGCAGCAATGAACATCGGAAAAAAGTAAATTATAGCACATGCCTCTGGAAATTCTGGCAGTTCTACTTGACCAAAAGCAGCACTGCCACCAAATCTCCAATATCAATAGCCACTGGGATAAACGCAGTTGCCATTAACTGTGTATGTAGCTGGGGACCTGAAGCGTGAGTATGACTTTGGCACTTGGCATGTGCATGAAACCAGCAGTCAGAGCTATAATTATTTTGTGATGGCAACCTGGCAATCATGCTGGATATGGACTTGCAACACCACCAGCACAGCAGCCTCGTGGGCGTGCGGCATGCACTCCTACCTGTGGCACGTTTGTCCTGAGCCAGCCACGTCGTTGCGACCAGCGCATCGACTGTGCCACAGCCCTGATGTATGAAAATGGGTCTGGCTTTTCCTTGAAGTTGAAGATCATTTCATCAAGGACGTTGAGCTGATTTAAAATATCATTGCTGATGCCCTTCTAACCCCACAGAATTGAGATGTATTTGAAGATGATGTCCAACATTGTGATAGCATTTTCATTGCCAGGATCGGTGAGCTCCACTGACACGTGGAACATAGATCTGCAACCGAAGCACACAATTTTTGAGTGGTGCCCGACAGGTGGTGATAAAAGCTAGGGCCCACCTGTTAGCATGCAGCCAGCAAGCTCAGGCACCATGGTGATGATATCCACACAATGGACAGAGTTTCGCAATGCTGCTCCAACTGTTTACTGCTCAAACTAAACGTGATGGCAGGTTGCATTCGTAATTCAGCATATTGTTGCAATGATAACATCACAGAAGTCCGCGGTGGACTCAATATCAATCTATCGCCCGACACAACGCCATTGAGGATCTTTCCTTTTGCACGGGCTCGCTTCGCTCGGCCGAGCCCGGCCCCTTCTGGAACCTCGTAGGACACAGTCCCACAAGCAGTTCGCCTAAACTTTGCATGTCATTACCACAGCGTTTCCCGCTACAATGCAGCGGAATGGCTTCTATTCTTGTGGAGCGAATCGGACAAAAATCTACACTCATTCTTGAATTGCATACAGAAAAGAAAGATGCCATGGCATGGGTCTGCCTTAAAATACCACGATGTGGAGCAGGCTTGGTTTTTACGCCGTAAAAACTGATCGTATTTACGTTTTTACGGGTAAGAATGCGTAAAAATACGTAAATACAATGTAAAAACTGCCTGGTGTACATAAGGGCACTACATATAGATTTACAGAGTCCGGAGAGTGGCATCCAGACGCCTTGGAAGAGGCATAAAACGAGTTTTTGCTAAAAGCCATTATCGCCCTTGCCACAGGCGAGGTGGACATTGCGCTCCGGGTGATGGAGATGGCAGAGGACCGATCATTGTATGCAACTTTCATCGTGTAAACTACGTGTGCCAGGGAGTCGTAAAAACGTAAAAATAGCCATAAAAATAGACCATTTTGCAAATTTACGTTTTTGCACGTAAAAACGTAAAAGTAAAAACGTAAACGTAAACGTAAAAACGAAGCCTGATGTGGAGCAACATGCTCGCCAACTATCAAGAAACAGTTTCTTCTGAACACAGAAGTTACTTCTGAACACTTTTTAATTTGGCTTTGGAAATTTGCAACCCCTTTGGCAGTTTTATTTGATACTAAGCCTCTTTCCCATCGCTCACAAGGTGCTGCGGTATGTGGAACACCAACACATCCTTGTTGCACATCGGTGTTGCCACAACTATATGACAATATCTTTTGTGACCACACCAAACACACAAATTCCACCCCTGTCCTTTGCAAACTGCATTTTGGGGCCCAATGGAAGCTTCGCCTAAATGCCGCTGAAATGCTCCCGAGGAGCCTCCACAATCACCTGACGATTGCACTGCACAACTGGTGAAATGCGTTGTGATCAGCGGAACAGGCCGAAGGCCGCCGCGCCACGACCAGCCTCGACGGCGTCCACCACGTGACCAAACACGCAGCGATGATGCGCACGCACGATCTTCGCAGGAGCGAGCCCTATTCAGGCACTTCTCACCAGCAGCAAGAATCATAATTGTGATGCCGACTGCGACGCCATTTCGACTCTCAGTGGCGCCACCACAGTGACTGCAATGACAGAAAAGTTGCTGCGATGATATCAATTATTGTCAAATGTCATCGCAGTTGGCATGATGCCGCGATGATCGCAATAGCGCCGTTTTCTGCAGGTGTCTGGTGTTGCGTATCGCGACGCGTTCTATTGCAGACGATGTGCAGAACTTCGCTGGCCGGGGAAGGGTAGGCCCTCGCGTAGACGAGTTGGAAATCTGACTTTAACTGACCCACGCTTCCTGTTTCACCTTCCAAGAGCCTCGTTGCGTGAGCAAAGCTGCAACGAGTCGCCAGGGCGGCTCACACGTCCCCAGCTTCCAATACCGGCCGAAGAAACGCAAGGCACCAGGCTTGGTGGAACTGAGGGACGCCGCCCGGGATGCACGATTCCCTACCGCCAATGCGCCACCGCGCCAACACCAGTAGAAAACAGCCTGTTTGCGATGCCAACTGTTTTGCCATTTGACAGAAATTGATGCCATCACGGCCCCTTTTATGCCATCGCGATCACTGTGATAGCGTCAATTTGTGTCGAAATGGCATCGCAGCTGGCATCGCAAACATATCGTTTTTTATGAATGCAAAAGATGGTGCGCCGACATAATGTCCACGGGCCCCTGCCGCCCGCTCGTTTGCAAGGTGCCAAGTCGAGTCAATATTTTCGGGTGAGGGAAAAACGCATGGCTGATATCGCGACAGGGCGCTGAGGGCTTCATAGGCGATTGGCGAGAGCCACCTTGCCCCGACAAACGCAGTACGCGAGGAAAATCGAACGCAGTGCCTGGAGCCGACAATAGGGAACAATTTCGGATCATCATCCCCATTCATTTCACATGACAAGGCAATGATGTTGCTGTCAGCTTCCTGTTTTGCCCGAGTAAAGCAGTGCCTATGGTAAATTCATTCAATTTTCGAATCACCGGTTGCCTACCTGTTTGGTCACTGTTTCGGGCGTTGCAGCTGGTAATAGTCGATGATGAGCGTCATCATCATCATGAAATTTTGTACAGCAAGGTGAGCACGCAGGCCCCAGTTTCCCTTTTGGCCCGAGCAAAGTGATGCCCATTATCTGTTCGTTGAAATCTAGTGTGCGACACAAACAGAATCAGCAACTAATCAATTTCTGATTTGGGAGAACCGTATGAAGACGATAACACGTTAAGGAAAAAAAACTGGGGACTAGTGCATTCCCTGGTGCCGCCAGGTCGTGACGTCTGCACAACCGTCAAGGTCACGTGTGATTTCGGATCGCCGTGCAAGTGGCGGGCTCGCATGAAGATGGTGATGCGGATGGCGACTGCGGGGAGTCTTCGATTGCAGGTCCACCACACGGGCCTCCCTTTGTGCTGTGGGGTGATCATTGGCGTGGCCAGCAGCCCGCAACACCGCAAGCGTGCCTGGCACCAATCATAGGGGGGGACATGAGGCAGATCTGCGAATTCCCACGGCCAACTCCCAAGGCGGCGCACCAGGCCACTGTAGAGAAGGGAAGGCGTCATCGCCAAATCAGCACGCGGCTCCTCCGACATCAGGTGGATTCTATCGGGCACCAAATTGGTCGCTCTGTCTTTTCCGCGAGGATCCTTTCTCGTTTCGGACACCCTTAACCACTGACGTACTAACCAGCGTTGCCCTCTTCAGTGGAAGGAGAAAGATCTACTACTCTATTTTCGTTCTGTCGCCAGGTCTCGACGTGCGCTCTTTTGGGCCACAGAGCAAGTGGCAGGTTCGCATGGAAAGAGTGACGTGGATGGCCCCTGCGCGGAATCTTCAGTGGCTATTTTACCACGCGGGCCTCTCCTTGCGCTGCGGCTGGATCATCGGCATCACAAGCAGCCCGCGGCCCGGCCCGAGTGCCCGCCACCCATCACAAGGAGGGCTTGTGGCAGATCCGCAAAATCGCGGAACCAAAGTTCGAAGTGACGCTGAGCAGCCAGACTGAGGCGAGGGCGTAACAGCCAAGTCAGCACGCGGCTCCTCCGACATCAGCCACGCAATACCGCCAAGTCTCGACGTCCGCGATTTTGGACCACAGAGCAAGTGGTAGGTTCGCATGGAAAGGGTGGTGTGGATGGTCCCTGCGCGGAACCTCCGATGGCTGTCCAGTCATATGGGCCTGCTGGGTTACTGGCGGCACCTGCGCCCCGCGGCCCGGCGCGAATGCCCGGCGCAGGCCCAGCGCATCTGCCGGCTGGCTGTCCCGTTCGGTCGGTGGTCAGCCGCTCAACATCCCGCGGTACAGCTGACCCACACGTCATCAGACGTGTGGTAAAGTTCCGGCCCTGTGCGCTGTTCTCCTGGATTGCCTGGACCGTCTATATATATAATGGTGGGCGGGGGCAGCGTGGATCAGTGAGCGCCTGCGTGGAAACCCCAACACGCCGCGTGGAGCACGGACGTGGGAACGAGCGAGGCGTTCTCAGGCTCAGCGCGGCAATGGCGCGCGTGACCAGGCGAGACATCCGCCAGATGGATGTCACGGAGCAGAGGCGGTTCGCGGACGCCCTGGACGAGATGATGCGGAACCCCAACGGACCAGAGTCGTCGGTGTTCTTTGAGAAGGCGGGGATCCACGGGTGGCCGGGGCGGAACGCGGACAGCCCGGCGCGGCGGGTCTGGAACCCGTACTGCGCGCACTCCAGGGAGAGTTTCCCCATATGGCACCGCGCCTACCTGTGGGACTTCGAGCAGGCCCTGCAGGCCGCCGACAGGGCGGTGAGCGGCCGAAGCGACCCGATCGCGCTGCCCTACTGGGACTGGAGCAGGGTGGTAAACGGCCAGGTGTACCCCAACATACTCAGGGATCGGTTCAGGGACATGGAGCCGGGCCTCCTGTCTCCCAGGTGGAGGTTCTCAGCGCCCTTTGATGCTGTTGAGGACCTTGCGAACGAGGGCTACGCCGAGCTGAACAGACGTGTGGATGACGTCGACGAGCTGTGGTCGGCGCTAGCGCCTTTGGAGCAGCTTGTGCAGAGCGCTCTGACCAGGAACAATCACTACCAGTTCGCCCACACGTTTCTCAGTAGCGTCAGCAGCATCGAGGACCCGCACAACAGCGTGCACGGCGCCCTGGGTGCCCCGATGGCCAGCCCGGCGGTCGCGTCTTTCCACCCCATCTTCTGGCTACACCACTGCAACGTGGACCGCCAGCTGTCCGAGTACATCGCCAGGAGGGGGGCGCAGGTGGTCAAGGGCGACTTCAGGAGGAACCAGGCGGCTAGGGATCCGCGGGTGAGTGGCACAGGGCCCCTTGCGCTGCGGCCTGACGTCTCCGACGGCTGCTGTCGCGTCTGCGCTCCTTTGCTGAAAGGGCGTCGGGTCCAGCCGGCGTTGTCAGCACTGGTTGTATCCAGATGCCCCGTTCTTTTTTGCTCATGGTCCCTTTTCCCTCGCATTTCACACTTCAGCGACTCCTCTCTGTGATTTGGGCCATTTCGGAAGCATTTTCATAGCACCCAACAACCCCAGGACAAATAATCGGAGGGCATGATTTTCAACCAATGGGCGCACGGTGCGCACTGAATGGAATATACTGGAGTACGTAATAAAATATTAACGGTCCCACGCAGCAAATGAACTTCAGCCGATCAATCAGCGACACACACCCACGCACTCGCACCTTGTTTTCGTTGCAGACGGACACCAACGTCAACGAAAACTTGTACGAGGACCCACTGGAGCCCTTCAGGAAGAACAACGGCAGGGACCTGGTCTACGTGGAGGACATGTTCGAGCCGGACATCCTTCTGTATGACTACGCAGAGCGGCCCCCCGACGACAGATCGCGACGCGTGCCGCGTCCATTGCAAATGCGCGAGCTGCCCACCAGGGCGGAATTCGTGTTGGACATGATGTCGATCGGCACGCACAGCTACGAGCTGTTCGTTTTCGTGGTGCCACTGAGCGAGGCTGGCGGCTGGCAGCCTCCAAAGCATCCCCGCGACTGGATGGGGGACCCCAACTTCGGCGGCAAGGCGGCCATATTCGGCAGTATGGGCGAGGTCTGCGGCTGGTGCAGGAGGCGGCCCAAGATCAGCGTGTACGCGGACATCACGCAGGCCCTTACCGGCCGTGGCCTGAGCCGTCACGACGTGCAGATACGGGTGATGTGCCGCAACGAGTTCGGAACGGTCCTCAGGCGCAGGGACACCAACGTGCCCATGCCGCATATTGTTGGGCCCCTGTTTGAGAAGCGGGATGCGCTCCTCGAAAAGGGCAGCGTAGCCGCCGGCGAGGTCAGCCAGCTGCAGAAGTTCTTGAACAAATTCGGGTGGCTGAAGGGTGGCGTGGACGGCGTGTTTGGGGATGCCACCGAGGCCGCCGTGAAGGCCTTTCAGCAGTTTTCCGGCATCGACGGGGACGGCGTCGCGGGGCCGGTGACCATTGCAAAGATCCTGCAGACGCGTCACGACGACGTTGCCGACCAGCCGGATGAGCCGGACCAGCCGACTTACCAAAGGGGTGAGACGGTCGAGTACTGGGTCGGCTTGGGACCCGCCAACCTGGACCAGGACACCTTGGAAGGGGAAATTGGCGCGGCATTCGCGGCGTGGGCGGAGGTCACGGGGGTGGTTTTCACCCAGGTGGGTACAAGGGAGGAGGCGAAAGTGACGGTGACCTGGGCGGACAGGAGCCCGGACAACTTCTTTCTGTTCGACGGCCCCGGCGGCGCCCTGGCTCACTCCACCAGGGAGTACATCCAGTTCGACAGGGCCGAGCGTTGGCTGGCCCAAGGGGACCAGCCGGCGCCCGGGGCGTTCCACGTGCTGCCCGTGGCGCTGCACGAGGTGGGCCACGTGTTGGGGCTGACGCACAGCGGCAATGGCGATGACGTCATGGCGCCGTACTACGCGGGGAAGTTGGAGCTGGCGGAGGGGGACAGGCAGCGGGCCAGGGAGCTGTGGGTGGCGTGATTTTCTTTCTTTCTTTTTTCAGGGAGGTCGTGGTGGGGCTCAGTGGATATCCAAAAAAACAACCTGTCAGAAAAAAGGGTTCAAGTGCACAAGTATTGTGAAGTACTGAGCCTTATACCAGTCTTCCCGAAAAGGGAGTTCGAAATTGGTATGGTTGGCACCGTAGGTCCGTCATGGGTGGAGAAGGGAGCTCAGTCATCGCGGGGGTGAACAAAGCGTTGTTCCATAAGTTTCGAACCCCTTGCCGTGGTCTGACTCGCCTGGAACGGCGAAGGTAATGGGGGGGATAGATTTTGGGGTCACATGGTAGCTTCATATCAAGTTTTGAGGATATCAGCGTACAGTCGACTGTTGCATTAGTGGGCGATCTTGACAACGCATTCCATATTTTCACAGCCATTCGCCTGGACGAAATCCATTCACTGGATCACAGGACTAATGAGATCTTGTGTATCACATGGATGCCAGTCAGCAAGCAAAGAGTCGTGGATTCAAAATTCCTGCATCCTGCAGTATTATCAGATGCCTGGATTTGACTTCGAAAATTTTGATGGTATTCATCGGGAAGGGGCCTAGGGGATGGGGCCTGGGGTACAAAAACGAATAGGCTTCTTACAGGAGCGAGCAAGCATTCGAAGTGTGTGCCATACTCTAAGGTATCACAGAATGACACCACCGGTGGCGCCAAGAAGAATTTATTGTTGACATGACACCAGGAGACTTTTGCTGGTCAAATGTACTTGGGAGCCTTCGGAGAGGTGTGGAAGTGGGTCCACTTCTTACGATAGCTGGATTCATTTGATATCAGTAAGCTCGGCAGGCATAGAACCTGCATTGTTAGAAGCACGGGATGCATTTGAAGCTTCACTGGCGGGCAAGAAGAAAAGGTGCATGACAGGAGTTGACCTACACTTTGCAATTTTTGACATGTTCGAGACAGGGATTGTATAGGGGACACTTTTCATGGCCACGACGTTTGACTGATGCTATGAAGGTATTTTAGGAGTCATGCCTGCATTAATAGAGACACGAAACGTCCTTCATGATGTTTCTGGTATCAAGGAGATTCCTGGATCTGCAAGTTTGAGATAAAGCTGTTGACCTCAGAAGTGTACACATGTATGGCATTTCCTCAAGGGGGTTTGAGCAACTTCCCCTGTGCATTTTATTACGTTGGTGCCACAACTGGCGCAACTGTTGAGATGGACATTGTGAACGCCAGTGCATGTACATTAATAGTTGTGGCAGTACAGTTGCCCGCTCTTGGGAACATTTCGCTTCTTTTCGATTTCGTGGCTCGATGGACTATGTGCAGTGGAATGGACTCCTAAATAGGAATTAGAATCACGAATCATCACTTGCGGGGTTGCGAACAATGCCCTTTGCACACAATCCGACCTGTCTCCAATGCTGTTGGAGGCCGGCTTCCGCGCTTGAGGCGGTGCGGTACAACGAAGAAGGTGAAATGCTCGAAAACAGTCTAGGCTAGACTAAGCTAAGCGCCAAGGACAAAAAAGATTGCATCCGTCATCTGAGCAACAGCTTTGGAGCCTCGAAGTACACAAATGGAAAATCGGTACTTCTTCCATCTAGAATAAAATGTTACCTTTTGTACAGAAGCAGGCTTGGCATTTACCCCGTAAACAGAAATTGTATTTACATTTTGTGCGTAAATAATTTACGTTTCTACACGCGAAAACGTGTAAAAATACGTAGATACAACGTAAATATAGCCTAGTATACATTAAGACAGTCTATACAGACTTGTGGAGTCCAGGGAGTGGCAGTCAAACGCGCCGGAATGGGTGTAAAACGAAATTTTGTTCCATGCCGTCGTTGCATTGCCGAAGGCGAGGTGGACGCTATGTTGCGTGTGCTGGAGATGGCTGACAACTGATCACTGTACACGACTTTCATTGTGTAGCCCGTGTGTCAACGAGCCGCAACAACGTAGAAATAGTCGCCAAAATAGCCCCTTCTGCAAATTTACGTTTTTGCATATAAAAAAGCAAAACGCGAAAACGTAACGTAAACATAAATGCTGCGTTTAAATTGAATACATTTTAGTTTCCTTTTGAAATCAAGCCAGTATGCCACTAATGAATTTACTGAATCTCGAACTTTTCGGATAGCGAACAATCACAGTGAAGACAGCGGCACCATGGGACCCACATTACTCGGGCGAGATACCGAAAATCCTCAAGGTCTTTTCGATCAGTTCAAGAACTGCTCCCTCAATGTGACTGGCGTTGCGCGCAGAGTGCATATTTTCCGCTGCCATATGGCTGCGACTTTGCTCCATTTCATGTAAAGCGGCAAGACATCAGTATTGGGCTGCGTACCACTTAATCATGGATCGCAACTTGTAATAGTACTACAACCACAACTGACGCACAATCAACATTTTCCTTGTGAATTGGGACCCAAAGTTTTGAAGAGCACATCATTACGGTGTTTCGGAAGTTGCAGCTCCGCAGAAGAGATGTCTGCAAGTGCTTATGAGTACCGAGAGAATACTGAAAATAGGCGACGGTCTTGCATTGTATACTTGCAACCCAGCCCAGAGCGGAAATGCGTTTTTGGAGCGGAAATGCGCTTTTGCAAATCCACTCCATAATCGTTGCATAATAGCCGAGCACTATGACACCGGGGTTGCGTGAGGAGAGGGGCGATCCGACTAGGGTGCTGTGGGTTTGCCTCCCCGCTTTGGCGTGGGGCGCCGATGGAGGGTGGCCGGCGGGAAAGGCGTGGCTGCAATGTGTGGCGCCCCATTGCGTTCCGCTCATACTTTCGCCGTGCGATCCCGTGTCGTCGCGGAGACAGTGATCCCTGTCGGTTGTGCCGATCGCCGCCATGGCAATGGCCCGTGCACAATCGCGCGGGACGAAGTTGCTGTTCCCGTGATGGCTCCCGCCGGGCTGCGGAGCCAACGGGGTGCGGCTCCCTTCCGGGCCGGGTGTGCGTGCTTGAGCGCCATTACAGGGAGGGGCATGGGCCTCCGCCATCGCACTGTATGTGACAATTCAGTGCCGTAATTGAGGAATGCGATCCAGCGTCCTGGCGGCGATTAAGGCCACTGTTGCGACGCCGACGGGTTGTGGTATTGATACACTTGGTTCGGGGTGGGACTATGTCGGCGGCAGGCCCGGCCACAGGCTTGAGGACGTAGCTGAGGAAACAGAGTTACAGATAGGTCGCGAACAGGCATGTCCTTTTATAGTCACACAACCATCTATCAATGCTTCAACTGTCACTGCCACAGCACTCGCCTCCAACAAACATAGAGCGTCGCCCTCGACGTGTAGCCGCCTCAAAGCAAGCAAACCAAGGGAACCAGGAAACTGGTAGAAACCACCATCAAGGAGACATTCAAACCTTCAAAAACTTGGCCAGCCATCATGTGCGGGGGGCCTTGAACACGAACACGCAAACCCATATCAAAGGGACACGTCAAGAACGAGAGCATCAACTCAAAAATCCATCAAAGGAACCAGACCCGGAAAAGAAATCATCAACCTCAAGCTATCACGCCCTGGTAAGCCTCGCCACCTCTAAGGGCATCTCAACAACTCAACCAAAGCTGGCCCATAGGCGCTCGGCGCGCACCGCCAACAACAAAGTCAATGCCATGCCCAGTGCGTTGACATAGCCACGTGGGCCTTGCTCACGCTCTGCCACGTCGCTCACTCGAGACTGGCAGCGACACTCCACCGTATCTGTGTGACATGCACGTGAGGCACGGGAGGCGCGTGCCTCCCTGCAGGTCCGCATTGTCACCTGACATAAACTGCCGTCCTGCTCACTCCTTGTCATGCAATCACTGCAGCGGGGACGTGTGTGCTGTGTGGCAAACACGTGATTCCTCCAGCACAGCCACCCACTCAAGCGATTACTGCCAACAAACGTGGCTCATACGCGTCCATCACCGCTCAACAGCGCCGCCCTGGGCTCTATTGCAACTCTGCCACTGCAAATCCAGCGAACGCACAGCTGCGGCGTTGACGACACCGACCTGCGCATCGTCCACCACCGTCAGGCGCACCATTGTCGCGCTTGTCTCGGCTCCCGCACGACCGCTTTGTGTCCATCGCTGGACGCCCTGACGTCGCAAGTCCAATGCGCCACAGCGTGAGGTGGCACGACGCTCACGCACGCCCCGGCGTCACGCCGCGCCACGTGGCCATATAGTCTTACAACCCAACCCATGTCTCGGGTGCCACACGATACACTAGGTTGGGGTTGGGGTTATGTCGCAGGCACGGCCACGGGCTTGGAGACATAGTTGAGGGAGCAGAGTTACAGGTAGGTAGCAGACAGGCATGTCCCTCTATAGTCATACAGCCATCTGTCAGTGATGGCGCAGTCACTGCCACATCAGTATAGACGCGCAGGTAGTAAGGCATCCATCAGAGGGTCTCTTGGGCTGTATAGCGTGTGCCAACCCTCCCGATGGTGCTGAGCAACCATCGGGGTAGCGGCAGCTATGTGGGGTGCAATTTCCATTCCTCCAGACCGGCGTGTGGGGTTCAACCGTGGTTCTGGGGCTGCGGGCCCCGTAGCTGTGGGCTAAGAAGGAATTTGAGGTTTGATTTGTCACCGCCACCGAGTGGATGGGCGGTTGTGCTCCGGCTGTGGCCTCAAGCCACCCATGTCCAGGAAGAGCGCGTTGGCCACAGATTCGCCAAAGAGGCGGCCAACAAACAGAAACGAACGGATATATGAAAGTGTCACATGATGGTATTGTGCTGTGCAATTTGCGCAAAGCCAAGCCGGGGGAGACACTGGTGAAGAAATGTGCCAGGTTCTACTGCATTGCCGTAGATGCTTTAATGATAATAGTATAGAGTAAATTGATTAGTCATATTATATGGAACAGGTTCAAAGCAATTGGCAGGCATTCGAGCAAAGACGAATTGGAGATTTGCAATCGCCTTATTCCAAGCAACTGATATGGAAGCCAAATGCTGAAATGTTGGACTATGTGACAACACAAGGGGAAAACATATTGGGTATAAAATGGTGCGATCTATCTGTGACAGATCTAATAAATCAATTTTGTGATCAACAAGAGCTATGCAAACTGTGATGGAATGAACAACATCAAAAGTGCAACCTAACCAGTGAATGAGCGGACTTTGAATGGATGAAGTGTGAACAAAAAACGTGCAGAACGTCGGGCCGAAGGCCCGACGTCTGGACAGGTGGCATATTCACACAGAAGCAGGTTTGTTTTTTACGCTGTAAAAACTGATCGTATTTACGTTTTTACGCGTAAAAACAGTTCTTACGTTTTTTCGCGTAAAAACAGTTTTTACGTTTTTTTTCGTAAAAATGCGTAAAAATACGTAAGTACAGCGTAAAAACTGCCCGGTGTACATAAGGACAGTACATACAGACTTACGGAGTCCGGAGAGTAGCAGCCAGACGCCCTGGAAGGGGAAGAAGACGAGTTTTTGTTGAACACCATCATCACCATGGCCAGGGGCGAGGTGGACACTGTGTTGTGGGTGCTGGATATGGCAGAGGACTGATCATTGTACGCAACTTTCATCATGTAATCTGGGCGCCCCAGGGACCCGTAAAAACTAAAAATAGCCGTAAAAATAGGCCCTTTTGAAAATTTACGTTTTTACGTGTAAAAACGTAAGCGCAAACGTAAAAACCAAGCCTGCACAGAAGCCAGTCGATCGTCAGGAATTGCCGAAATGAAGGACATTGACGAACAATATAGGGCGGTTTTCTCCACATTGAAGAAGGATGAGCTGGATGCGAAAAGGCCTGATATGCAAGCGCTCGAGGCAGCCAAGTGCCAATCCACATATTCCATCGTCGTGTTTGGATGAATTCATGCCGAATTTAGCGGAGCTGTTTCGTATGCCAGGCCAGCCATTCACTGCAGATCCGCAACAACAAGGAACTTTCGGTGCATGCAGCTATTTTATGGATAGTTCCATGGCGCTGGAAATCCTCCTGTCAACTGTGGATCCCTGACACGTTAGACCATTGCATGTAAAAAACAGGGCAAAATACAGGAAAATCGTTTACCGTGTAATACGATTGAAAATCGGATACAAGTCGTGTCAAACTGTGTGTTGATCGCATTGAAATGGGATAAAATCGTGTAGTAGCAATTGGGTGAGTGCGCATGAACTTCACACGTTTTGACACGATTTTGCGCGAATTTTACACAGTTCGAAACCGTAAATTGTGTAATTTTGGCCACTTTTTACTTGCATTGCTTCGAAAGACGATGCCGCGGATACCGACAATAAGAGACGGCAAGAAACACGCCCAGGCTCTAGTTCTGCCAAGCGCTCATCGCTACTGAAGCTTCAGTCGCGGTGATTCGATTACATGTAATCGAATTCGGAATCGCTGAAGCCCAGTACATGCCTACTAATACCGGGTAAATAAAATAATTGCGTTCATCAACGCACCCGTGTTGCACGTTGTCACTGACAATGCTTAGGCTCGCCGCTTCGCCGTGGCCTCAAATGTTGTGCGCATCACGCCTGCCCAAAGGGCGACGGCATTGCAAAACCAACGGTCGTTCACAATGCACTCTAGCGCGTCTGGCTGTCGCTCCCCAGTCTCACGGGAAGGCATAATTGCAGCAGCCAGTCAGGCGACTTTTGGTGTCCGAAAATTGCTCGGAGCCCTCACCGACTTGCCCTTGGGCGGCACGGTGAGAAGGGGCAACTGGCAACAGGGTAAGCGCAAGGCTACGCGTGCTGCTGGCCGTTGCAGAGCATAAACAAGTATGAGCATGAAAGTCGCGCATACTCATGAGGGTCTATGATCGGACGTGGTTGTGCATGCTTGTAAATATTGAAACAAGATTGACAGGAGCAGTACTTACAGAACTGAGGAATTAGATCTGCCGCCATCTCTTCATTTAGAGGCTAGAAATGCATGCTAACTACAACAGAAGGCAGTGGATAACCTGCCTGGAATCCCGAATGTGCATTTGGAGTTGCAACCTGCAGAAGTCTGTTGAATAAAATGCATATGGCCGTAGGAGAGGCTCAGCAGTACAACTTGCCATACTCCAACAGGGATTGTCTGTAAGCATGCGCCCGGGAGGGGCTACTCATCTCGGCAGACATGGGGGAGCGTCTGGCCCCTAATTCGGAGAAATCTAGACCAGCTGAAACGCATAAACGAGGCACCTATGGATGTGCTGCACGGATGACAATAGACGTGCACTAAAATAGGCGTGATGCACACCTGCACTATGGCGCATGGCCATGTTATCAATTCAGTAGTCCTCTAATGTAAGTTCTCCTTCCGTACTGCCGCCAGGTCCTGGCGTTTGTACAGACGTCAAATTCACATGTGATTTTGGACCACAGAACAAGTGGTAGGTTCGCATGCAAAAGGTGACGTGGATGGTCCCTTGGCAGAATCTTCAGTGGCTGTTCAGCCACGCGGGCCTCTCCGTACGACCTGGCTGTATCACTGGCACCACCTGCGGCCCGCGGCCCGGCAAGGATCCCGGTACCGATCATTTTTAGGAATTGTGGCAGATCTGTCAAATCACGAAACCAAACATCACATTGGCGCACTGGGCAGCCAGACTGAGGGGAAGGCTTCATCGCCAATTCAGCACGCGGCTCCTCCGACATCAGCTGGGTATTGCCTTCTTCTTTCCTTTTGGACCACAGGGCAAGTGGTAGGTTCGCATGAAAAGAATGACGTGGCCGACGAGGGGGCGCCCTTGCGCCAAATCTGCGACGATTGTCCACCCTGTGGGCCTCTCTGTACGACATGGCTGGATAATTGGCATCACAGGCAGCCCGCGGCCTGGCTCAAGTGCCCCATGGTCGCTGCAGGCTGGCTGTCCTGGCTGGTCGGCCGTCAGCCACCGAAACCCCTGCGGTACGGCTGCGCCCCATGTCAGCCGACGCGTGCTCAAGTTCGCGGTCCTATTCGCTGTTCTCCGGGATTGGCACAATCTTCTATATATAATATATGCGGTGGATTGGGCCGTGTGCGGTTGAAGAGGTGCCCCGGAGGAAACCCCAACGAGCCGCGTGGACCACGGCGGTGGGAGCGAGGCAGGTGTCCTCAGGCGAGGTGGTGCAATGGCGCGGCGCGTGGAGAGGCGGGACATCCGCGAGATGCGGGAGGAGGAGCAGGAGCGGTTCGCGGACGCCCTGGATGAGATGATGCGGAACCGCAATGGGCCGGAGACGTCCGTGTTCTTCGAGAAGGCGGGGATCCACGGTTGGCCGGGCAGGAACGCGGACAGCCCGACGGCGCCGTGGAACAGGAGCCGCGAGTACTGCGCGCACTCCAGGGAGAGCTTCCCCATATGGCACCGCGCGTACCTGTGGGACTTCGAGAAGGCCCTGCAGGCTGCCCACAGGGCGGTGCATCCGAAATTGGGGGGACAGATTGCGCTGCCCTATTGGGACTGGGGCAGAGTTGTGAATGGCCAGGTGTACCCCGACATACTCAAGAGGCGGTTCAGGAACATAAAGCCGGATCTCCTGTCTCCCAGGTGGAGAACCAGGTGGCCCCATGAGCACGTCAGGAAGCTTGCCGGTGTGAGACGTGGCGACGGCTACGAGGAGCTCAATGATCGCGTGGACAACCGCGACGGGCTGTGGAGTGAGCTGGAGCCCTTGGAGGTGAAGGTGGAGGAAGCGCTGGGGAAGCGGAACCACTACCAATTTGCCCACGAGGGTTTCAGGAATCGCAGCAGCATTGAGCATCCCCACAACGCCGTGCACAACTCACTGCATTTCCCGATGACCAGCCCAGCGGTCGCTTCTTTCCACCCCATCTTCTGGCTGCACCACTGCAACGTGGACCGGCAGCTGTCCGAGTACATTGGCAGGCGGGGGGCGCGGGCTGTGGAGGAAGACTTCCGGAGGAACCAGGCGGCAGGGAATCCTCGGGTGAGCGCCACGGGGACGCTTGCGCTGCGGCCTGGTGTGAGCGACCGCTGCTGTCGCGCCTGCACCCACATTGCAGAATGGGCGTCGCGGCCCAGCCAGCGTTGTCCGCTCTGTTTGGCACCCACTCACTCGTCTGGTTCTCTTTGTTGAAACTTCCGGGTTCCTTTTGCTGACTCGTAGTAGGTGACGCCACTCTGGTCTGCGCAATTTCATGTGCAGCTTTCATGGTACCCTGCGAAAACCAAGACAAACTTCCGAGGAGTGGTGATGGTTTCAAGCATAAAAGCAAGGGGGAAGGGGTGGGGTGGGCGTGGGGGGGGGGGGTAGTTGTTTGTGCACGACCTCATGTAGCAAATGGAATTTCAGTCAATCAATCAGCATCACGCATCCACTCAATTGCCCGGCTTGTGTTGTGGTTGCAGACGGACACCGATCGCGAAGAAAATCTGTACCGCGAGGCGCTGGAGCCATTCAGGAAGGACGACGGCAGCGATGTCCATGTGACAGACATGTTCAACGAGGACCTCCTGGGGTATGTGTACGCGCCGCGGCCCATGGGCAGCTCGCAACGCGTGCCGCGTCCGCTGCAGATGCGGGAGCTGCCCACCACAGCGGAGTTCGTCGTCGACTTGATGTCCATCGGCACGCACAGCTACCAGCTGTACGTTTTCGTGGTGCCGCTGAGCGAGGCCGACACGTGGGAGCCTCCAGAGAACCCCAACGACTGGCGCGACGACCCCAATTTCGGGGACCTGGCCGCCATCTTCGGCGGCAAGGGGGAGTCATGCGGCTGGTGCCGCAGGCGGCCGAAGATCAGCGTCTACGCCGACATCACGCAGGCCCTTGCTGGCAGGGGTCTGAGCCGCCACGACGTCCAGCTCCGCGTCATGTGCCGCAACACATACGGGACCGTCCTCAGGCTTGAGGACACGAACATCGACCAGCCGCAGATCGTGGGCCCCGTTTTCGAAAACAAGGAAGCGCGCTTGGAAAAGGGTGCGGACGCCGCGGGCGAGGTTGTTCAGCTGCAGAAATTCTTGAACAAGTTCGGGTGGCTGAAGGGCGGGGTGGACGGCGTGTTCGGGGATGCCACCGAGGCCGCCGTGAAGGCCTTTCAGCGGTTCACCGGCATCGATGGCGACGGCGTCGCTGGGCCGGCGACCATCGCAAAGATCTTGCAGACGCGCCACGACGACGTTGCCGACCAGGCGGATGAGCCGGACCAGCCGACTTATCATAGGGGGGAGACGGTCGAGTACTGGGTCGGCGTGGCGCCCGCCAACCTGGACCAGGACACCTTGGAAAGCGAAATTGGCGCTGCTTTCGCAGCGTGGGGAGAGGTCACGGGTGTAATTTTCACTCGGGTGGGTACCAAGGAGGAGGCCAAAGTGAAGGTGACCTGGGGGGACAGGAGCCCGGACAACTTCTTCCTGTTTGACGGCCCTGGTGGCGCCCTGGCGCACTCCACCAGGGAGTACATCCAGTTCGACAGGGCGGAGCACTGGCTGGGCCAGGGGGACCAGCCCGAAGCCGGTGCGTTCCACGTGTTGCCCGTGGCGCTGCACGAGGTGGGCCACGTGCTGGGGCTGACGCACAGCAGCAATAGCGATGACGTCATGGCACCGTACTACGCGGGGAAGTTGGAGCTGGCGGAGGGGGACAAGCAGAGGGCCAGGGAGCTGTGGGTGGCGTGATTTTTTTTCTTTGTGGGGGGTTCGCAGCAGGGCCCCAGTGAACACCAAGATTAGGGTGTTGATTGGCGCTGTAGGTTTTGTCAAGAGTGGAAAAGGGAGCTCAGTTGTCATGGCTGTGGACAAGGCGTTGTTCCAGAAGCTTGGACCCTTCTTGCCATGGTCTGACTACCTGGAAGAGCAAGGGAAATGGGGAGGATGGAATTTGGGGTCACATTTAATAAATGTGTAATTGTCACATAATATGTGTCATTGTATGGTCACTATGTAGTGGTTTCATATAAGAATAGGGTTATCAGAGTACATTAGTACATGAGGGCATTGGGCTGTTGCATTAGTGGGAGAGTTGATAAAGCATTCCACATATTCAAAACCATCCGTCCAGATGATATCCATCCATTGACCTACAGGACTAATGAAGGTCTTGGTTGTGAGTCACATGGATGCCACCAAGAAAACAGAGAATCGTGAATTCGAATTTCCTGGATTTTGCAATATTATGGGGTGTCTGGATTTGACTTCTAAAAGTATTCAAGGGGAAGGGGCCTTCGGAGCTGGGCTGGGGGAGGAAAAGCAGGAGGCTCCCCTACAGGCGCGAGCAAGCCTTCGAAGTGCGTTCAACACTTCATGGCACCATAAAATGACACCGCCTGTGGTGTCAAGAAGAATTGCTTGCTGACATGACACCACGAGAATCATTGGTCGGATGTGCTGGGAAACCTTCGCAGAGCTGTGCAAGTGGGTCCGCATCTTATAGTAGCTGGATTCATTTGATATCAGTAAGCTCAGCAGGCATTGAACCTGTATTGAAGAAGCATGGAATATCTTTGACATTTCGTTGGCGGGAAGGAAGGAGAGGTGTATGACAAGAATTGGCCTAGTAGTAGGCTTTGAAATTTTGGACATGTCCGAGGCAGGGACGGAATAGAGGGCCAGTTTTAGTGGCCGCAGCATTTGATTCATGCTATCAAGGTATTTTGGGGTGGCATGCATGCACTAATAGAGACACGAAACAGCCTTGAGGATGTTTCTGGTGTCAAGAAGATTCCTGGATCTGCTAGTCGGTATAGATCTTTTGACCTCAGAATGCCATATGTTCTCAAGGTGTTTGGGCAACATCCCCTTTGTATTTTCGAAAGTTGGTGCCACAACTGGCACCACTCTTGAGATGGACATTCCTAACGTTGTTACATGTACATCGATGGTTGTAGCAGCACAGCCCCCCGCCTTTGGGGACATTTAGCTTCTGTCCAATTTTGTGGCTTTACGAACTATGTGCACCAAAATGACCTCCTTATTCGCTGAGTCACCGATAATGCTTTTTGCACAAAAACCCGCAGTTTGGTAATACTCATAGAGACCGCCTCGCTTGCCCGAGACGATGCAGCACAACGAAGAAAGCTGTTTGTTCGACAACACTACTAGCACCAAGGACAGAAGAGATTTCGTCTGTCATCTGAACAATAGCATGTTTGGCAACCTCGACGGACACAAATGGAAAATCGATACTTCTACCGTTACTACGGGAAAAGGGGGCGTCTGCATGATTTTTGTGCGGCTCGGACGCGTCCGAGTGCATCAGAGCGCATCTGAGCGTGCTATTTGCACTGTCCGAGGCATTAGCAAAGCCGTCCAGAGGGTCCGTCTACTAAGCGGAAGCTTCTGAGCGCTAAGGCAAAAGCGCCGAAATGCGCCCAAGGCGTCTGAGAGCACCGAATCCGAAAAAAGCGGACACTTACTCCGTCCGCACGTGGCGCGGACGCGTCCTACACTTTTTCTATGCACTTGGGCACTTTGAGAGCGGACATTTTCAATTGTCCGGAAGGACAATAGAAAGTGGGAGTGCACGGAGGCTTTCCCGGAGTGCACAGACGCTCTTCGGGTAGTGCGCGGATGGTTCCTTGTCGAATTAAATTTTCCTTTGGAAGGGATTGACAATTGTGCCCCGCGCATCGGTGTGCTGTGTTGGTTGGCTGTGTGGCGGCATGCGGTGTTTACTCCGCCTGTGGTTTGATGTTTGGAGGGCGAGTGGTCCCCAACGCATTCTGTCTTTTTGGTAGCCTGGGCGACCATGATCCCGTGAGAATCGGCATTTTTCCACCGCCAGAGATCGCAGGGCCTGGGCAGCCTGCACACAAGCAACTACAAACGGTCAGCTCTTCACCTCTGCCTCTTCCATCGAGGGGGGTGACAGGGCCTGGGTAGCCTGCAGACAGAACACAGAACGTCATTTCTTCGCCACTGTGCTCCTCCGTTGCTGGCGATCGCAGCTGCTGACTGGCCTGCGCATGCAGCACACAGAACATCAGTTCTGCCCGACTCCTTCATCGCCAACACTACCAACACCTGGACACCTGCACACAAGAGCAACAAGCAGCTGTCAATCCTGCATCCGCCGCCCCCTCAATCGCGTGTGATCTTTGGCGCCTGGGTGGACTGCAGACAAAACACACAGACGCCGTCAGCTCCTTACCCGCCGACTCTTCCATCACCGCGAGGCGTCCCCACGGCGTTGCCGTCCTCGGCGTCCGTCCCGTGATCAGCAGACCTGATCTTGCCATGCCCTGTTCACCCCGGGACTTCGAGCCCCCGATAAGAGCGGGGCCGCCGCCTGCGCTTGGATACTCTCCCCTCTTGCCGCTATTGGACGAGGGCGGGACCGTGATCCAGCCCCTCTCTTCACGACAAGAGAGGGCGTTGGCGTATTGGAGCAGTTTGGCTGGAAAGGGTCTAAGCAGAGCAATGGCCACAAATCAATGACACACTGATGCGCGCCACTATGCGCGCCCCCGCCGTTGGAGTTGTTGTGTTCCAATCCTTCGTGCGGCACTTGTACTTCAGGGTTAACAAGGAGCTGGTGAGGCAAGGGGGCGAAGGGCCGTAGCGAGGCTGGTTGACCTAGCCAGCTAGTACGGCTAGCTGTCCTTGGTCACTGGGCAAACGCCACAGGGGACCAGAAAGTCGATTCGGTTGGGATCGCTGATGCCAACTTCTGACCGCCTCGATTGGGGAGCAACGGGCCTCTGCGTGGCTTTGATTCTAGCGCGGGGCGTGGCGTTATGAATGAAAAGCGGAGGACAGGGCCACTCGAAAACGTTGTGAGAAGGCGAAAAAGTCATCAAGGAAGGCAGGCATACGTTGATGCAGTAACTTCAGTTGGTTGCAAAATATGAAGTTTGGAGTGATGGCAGGCAACAGGGATAGCCTTGGGCGCTGCTAGTTGAGATTCAAGCTGGTAACTAACTTTCGCGCAAAATGTCGGTAAGGGGGTCACGGAAAACAACAGAACATGCATCCTCTTCTCTTTTTGTGCACTCAGAAATGGCAACGTTGCGAACAAATTTCCTTGTTTTCTGATGGCCAATCCAGAGCACAACTGTTTTGCCCAAAAAACCACATATCACGATGTTGCGCACAAGTGCAGCCTTTCGGACCTTACCGACATTTTGCACGAAAGGCTGTTTGGTACAGGAGATCTCAGCAAGACGCCGTTGCTTCGCTGGACAAGGCACAGAATTGGGAGTTCGGGCCACTCAGTTTTCGACAGATTTGATCGGCAGATCAACACCCACTTGTACACGGACACCTCCACTCAGAGCGGCAAGCACGCCGGGTATCTCAGCTGAATCAATGGCCACTCCGCTTCCCCAGCCTCGCTCCAAGCCTTGGCTGCTCCACACCCCCATTTCAAAGTTCGTCGTGGGCGTGTGCCCATCAGCCTCGCAGTGTTCTGTTGCCATCGCCTGCTCAAGGCCTGGGTTGTCTTCTGGCATTGATGCCGTGCGCTCTCCACTGAGAAGACTGTGATGCTGAGAATACCCTCTGTGTGGCGCTGCAGACGGGGGGCTGGATGGCACAGCCGTGTTGGCGAGTACCGTGCATTCAGCGGACGAATTGCATTCGTTGGAACGTTCCCTGACAATTGTCAGGGATCCCCAGACGCACTCAAACTGTCCGCACGTTCCGTTTATGCCGCGGCTTATGCCGCGGCAACAGTCCAAGCACTTCCCGGACACACGCAAAATGCCTAAGCATTCCGCGCACGCCTTTCGAACCGTCCGCGCATTCCCCAGGCGTCCGGGGAATTAGAGTGTCCGCGCATACCCCTGTCACTTCCGAGGCCTCCGTCCGAGCGGGGCCGCGCAGTGCACGGACGTGTCCGAGCAGCCGTTCAAAAGTATTCCGACGCCTCGGACGCTTTCACTGGTAAAAATTCGACCATTTTACACGGTGTAAATTTGTACGTAATCGTGCTAAAATCGTGTACAAATCGGGTGCGTCAGAGCACGGTTTTACACGATTGCTAAAATCGTGTAGTTTGCAACCCTGTATAGTACACGAAAGTGGTCCACGTTACCATCATGGACAACACGACAAAGCACACGGTTTTACACGATTTCAACAGTGCACCAGCGGCAAATGCGTATTTACACGATCGGTACACGATGTTCACACGATTTTTACACCATTTTGACACGCGCAACACGGTACACGAATTTCATGACCGTGTACTTTGGCCGATTCTTTACCAGTGTTTGGTCGCGTCCGAACGCCCTCCGATACTCTAGGAGTGTCCGAGGACGAGCGGAACCGTCCGGACGGGCCCAAATCCGAGCCCTCGGAAGACTTTGCAGTGGCTGCTCGTACACACCCGCGTGCTGCGTGGACGCTCTTGGCACGATCTGACGCACTCGGAAACTGCTTGGAAGCCCCTTTCCCGTAGTGCGTCTAGAACTAAATGGTATCGTTTGTTCGGAAGGCCGCATATACATTTATTACTTGTTATTTTCGTTTGGAAATGAAGCCAGTGCGCCACCAATGAGTTTATTGAATCTCGAACTTTTCAGGCAATGAACAATCACACCGAAGACAGAGGCACTTTGGGACCCACATTACTGGGGGTGGGAATCCGGAAATTATCAAGGTCTTCTCGGTCAATTCAAAAGTCATTCTTGACGGGTTGCCTTGTGACTGACGTTGCGCGCAGAGCGAACAATTTCCGC